CTCACCCCATTTTCTGTCTCTCCAATCCCATTTTCCATCTCCCCAACCCCATTTTTGGGGTGTTTCACCCCATTTTCTGTCCCTTTCACCCCATTTTCGGAGTCCCTGCCCCCGTTTTTGGGGTCCCTCACCCCATTTTTGGGGTCCTGACCCCTTTTTCGGGGTCCCTCACCCTATTTTCGGGGTGCCTAATCCTGTTTTTGGGGTCCCTCACCCCATTTTCTGTCCCTCTAACCCCATTTTTGGGGTCCCTCCCCTCGTTTTTGGGGTCCCCCACCCCATTTTCAGAGTCCCTCACCTCATTTTCCATCTCTCCAAACCCATTTTCCATCTCTCTAACCCCATTTTTTGGTGTCTAACCCCATTTTCCATGTCCCTCACCCCATTTCCGAGGTCCCTCACCCCATTTTCCGTGTCCCTCCCCCCATTTTCGGTGTCCCTGACCCCATTTCCGGGCTCCCTGACCCCATTTTCGGGGTGTTTCACCCCATTTTCGGTGTCCCTCACCCCATTTTCCGTGTCCCTCACCCCATTTTCGGTGTCCCTGACCCCATTTCTGGGCTCCCTGACCCCATTTTCGGGGTGTTTCACCCCATTTTCGGTGTCCCTGACCCCATTTTTTTCCCATTGCAGGAGGACATGCAGGGCTGGCTGCGCGCTCTGGCCGCCAGCAGCCAGGAACACGCCGAGCTGGCGCGGTGGCACCAGGGGCTCCTCACCACGTCCTCCACGGACGAGGGGCTCCCCCGGCGCGAGCCCGAGCGGCCCCGGAGGAAGTGACCCCCCCCCGGACCTCAATTTGGGGTCCTGACCCCCCCTGGACCTCAATTTGGGGTCCTGACCCCCCCTGGACCCCTGGGTTTGGGGTCCTGAAACCCCCAAAACCACAATTGTGGGGTCCTGAACCCCGGGTTTGGGGTCCTGAACCCCGGGTTTGGGGTCCTGACCCCCCCCTGAATCCCCAGTTCTGGGGTGGTGACCCTCCCTGAACCCCCGGTTTGGGGTCCTGGACCCCCCCGGACCCCTGGGTTTGGGGTCCTGACACCCCAAAAACCCTGAATTTGGGGTCCTGGTCCTTCCCAAGTCCCGGTTTTGGGGTCCTGACCCCTCCTGGACCCCCAGTTTGGGGTCCTGACCCCCCGATTTGGGGTCCTGACCCCCGGTTTGGGGTCTTGACCCCCGGGTTTGGGGTCCTGGTCCTTCTCAAATCCCAGTTTTGGGGTCCCAAATTCCGGTTTTGGGGTCCTGACCCCCCCTGGACCCCCGGTTTGGGGTCCTGACCCCCGGGTTTGGGGTCCTGGTCCTTCTCAAATCCTGGTTTTGGGGTCCTGCTTCCCCCCAGACCCCCAGTTTGGGGTCCTGAACCCCCCAAAACCACAATTGTGGGGTCGTGACCCCCCCTGGACCCCCAGTTTGGGATCCTGGTCCTTCTCAAATCCCGGTTTTAGGGTCTCAAATTCCGGTTTTGGGGTCCTAGTCCTTCCCAAATCCCGGT